CCCCTCTGTGATAACTCCCATTTAGGAAGAATTTTCTCAGCAGATCCTGTCACTAGCTCAGACCAGTCTAATGTCCCTGCCCTGCATTACCAGTGCTAGACTGCTGCTGACTCCTTTTCCTGGGGGTGGGGGTGGGAAGATAAGCCTAGAGGGTTCTAACTTGTTGGGGTCAACCCATTTGTTCCCCATTTCAGCTTATTTCTCTCTATTGGTTGTTAAGACACAGCTGGCCCAAAGAAGGCTTTGGTGGACAAGATTATCTGATCCTTTCCCCAACACCCTGCAGCCTCATTTGCCCTCTTATCCCGGCCCTAGGCAGTGGCAAATTAGGAGTTTATCTAGAAGGGATCCAGGTGGTGTGTGAAAAGGCTTTGCTCAAGTCTCCTCCAATGCACAGCCACCTGCCTGGAAACTCCCTCCAAACCAGGGTGGGGCTCTGGCCCCCAGTGGATTCTCCTGGAGTCTTCCTAGGAGTTCATTTTGGGGAGCACAGTCCACTTCTTCTCTAACCCCTGCTTCAGTGGGTCAGGCAAAGGCCCGGGGCTGCCTGCCTGCAGGCCCACACCTGCTAGGGGTTCCATAGGCAGCTGCGGGGTCATTGGAATACATAGTGAAGGCTCTTGTTGATCTAGATTTAGGGCCAGCCTGCAGAAATTTATTATTTCTAAGTGGGTTTCTGAGAACTTGCAGAGAAAATAGACTCCGAGTGCTCTTCTATTAATTAGTTCCTCAAGGATAATTCTGAGGGCTTTTTCCTGTCACAGTCACCAAAGCCTTGCCTGCTCCCAGCTTTTCATCGACCCATGGAAATGTGCTACCTCAGAGTTATCTTGCAGCCCTTGTTAGGGTCCCCTGAGGAGTGTCGGGAGAAGCTTCTTGAGTCTTCCCTCGCCGTGTTATATCCTCATGGCTATGCGACCCTGCCTGGAATAACACGGGATGGTGTGAGAAACAGGACCTGGCTAGCTCAGGGTGCTGAGATGCTCCGAGAACAGCCGGTGCTGTGGTTTCAGCCCAGACATCATCACTGTCAACACGGCAGCGCTGTTGGCTGCAGCCTGCAAATTCATTCTCTTGAATACTGTTTCCGTCTTAGAATCATTTTCCTGTGCTTCCTCAAAGGGCTCACCAGGGGAGACCTTCCTGCAAGTCCTCCTAGGGCAGCTATGAAGCGTGTGGATTTCAGTTGGAGGAGCCTGGAATAATCTACCTTTATATGTTTTTATATTTCAAAAATAACTGGACAATAGCTGGAGTGTCCTTTCTCTCAGAACAGGGAGAGGCCCTACGGGGGGAAAGAGGAGAGGAGTTCTGAAGAAAGGGACAAGAACCAGTTTAATACATCAGTCACCACACAGAAGTTTAATGGAAACCCTGAAGGCAGGTGGAGATAGTTGTTTGCCGTGGTTTGGTGCATGACGATGGTCACAACAGTGCAGGGTGTAGTGAGGGTCAGAGAGTCCCCTACTTTGTCAACCTGCAAAGTTATGTGGCCCGCATGACTCCCGTCACGGCCAGGTTGTGTCACTTTCTGTGGCCGTTGGCTTCTCTGCACATTGATCTTTCTGCAACCCAAGAATAGGGGGCATCTTAGAACCTTGGCATGGTAGTGAAGAAACCTGTTTATAATCTCAGTTTGGCAAGTCACCCATCTGGACACACATTGTAACCTCCTGTAGCCAGGGCATGAGCTGGGCCACCAGAAGTTGATGCTCTTCAGTTTGGCAACTGCTGAGTCTGTAAGTTCAGAAAATGTAGGCCAGTGCTTGGAAACTCCCACTTTCATTCAGTCCCACCAAACAAGTCATGGTGACTCTGTGTGTGGGACACAGTTACAGGGTAACTTGTCTGGGCACTGGGGGTGGGGGCCTGGCCTGGGGGCACTGCAACCCAGAGCTAGCCGGGCAAGATGAGCCTGACAAGGGTTCTCTCCTCTGAGACTCCTCTTCTTGAATTTAGGTGCTCCCTGGGTCCCGGCATCACAGGAAAAAGATCTCAAGTCTTACAGTGTTTTTGTAAATTTCCAATTAATATAAGGATATATCCAATTAGGTTACATTGTTTGCATTATAACCTAATGGGATGTACCCTTATATTAACCTCCCTTTGGTTAAGGGGAAGTTGGAGTTATATTTGAGTCCTTTACCCAGGAGGAGTGCCATATATCAAAAGATGGAGACTTTATATATTTTGTATTTACCTGGATGGAGTTAAAGAACATTCTCCTTAGTAAAGTATCTCAAGAATGGAAAACCAAGCATTCCATGCAGTCAATACTAATACGAAACTAGATCTTGAGTTTTAAAAATTTATATAAATGTGCACATGGTACTTACCTCCTTCCATTTAGAAATATGTAAAAAATGAACTCACTGTTTTCTCTGGAGAAATTACTAACATGGAACTTTTTGGAGTGTTAGGAGCTGGCTTATCTGGCCTTGAGGGCTTTTTCATGTCCTCCCTTCCTCATGAAAAACATTAACTATCCCATTCAGCTCAGATGCCCTCTTGAGTCTGAGATTATAAACAAGTTTGTGAGATCTTCCTTGACCATCCAAATTACCTGCCCACCCTGCCATTCCCTCTTAATACCATGTCTTTATTTTATGACAACGAGCACCTGTCATCATATGACATGGCCATGTACATTCCAAAACACTTGCTTCTTGTTTGTCTCACCTCTCTAGGCCATAGGCTCCATGTGGGCAGGGATTCCCCCTCTCTGGTTCAGCACTGTGACAAAGAGAAGGAGGCCGAGAGAGGGCAGGGGAAATGCACAGCTGAGGTCTGACCCAAGTTTCTGTCTTAAAGCTCATGTCCTTATATATCAGTGCTATGAATCAGTAGTGACTTTAATGGTAGAAATCTCAGCTGGGAAGGAGAGAAAATTGCTCCTGGTGGGGCCAGTGAGGACATGTTTTTTTTTTTTTTAATTTTTAAAAATTTTTTTAATGTTTTTTGAGATGGAGTCTCACTATGCCACCCTCAGTAGAGTGCTATGGCATCACAGCTCACAGCAATCTCAAACTCTTGGGCTTAAGTGATTCTCTTGTCTCAGCCTCCCAAGTAGCTGGGACTACAGGTACCTGCCACAACGCCCAGCTATTTTTTTGTTATCGTAGTTGTCATTGTCGTTTTAGCTGGCCCGCCAGGCTTGAACCTGCCAACCTCGGTGTATGTGGCCAGCACCATAACCACTGTGCTATGGGCACTGAGCCTGTTTTTGTTTTTTTAAAACAGAGTCTCACTCTATCACCTTGGGTGGAGTATTATTGTGTCATTATAGCTCCAGCAACCTCAAACTCTTGGGCTCAAGTGGTCCTTCTGCCTCAGCCTCCTGAGTAGCTGGGACTACAGGTGCCCACCATAATGCCCAGTTAATTTTTTCTATTTTAGTAGAGATGGGGGTCTTGCCCTTGCTCAGGATGCTCCTGAGCTTAAGAGATCCTCCCTCCTCGGCCTCCCTGAGTGCTAGAAATATAGATGTGAACCACTGTGCCCACTGGAGGACATGTATTTGGTTGGTGGCCCTGCCACATTCCTCCAGTCTGTACAGAATTTGTCTGCCTTCTTCCTCCATCAATGTTATCCTCACATTTGAGGTCAGAAAGAGATAATGTGGGAAGAACCAAAGCCTGAGACATGAGCTCCAGCTGCAAGTCCCACAAATCTCTTGGTCTTTCATTCATGAAATAGGAGACGCACAGTGAGGAGAGAAGCAGCTGGGAGGAGGGCTGGTGGGATGAGACGTGTCACCCAGCCTGGGAAGGGAGCAAGGTGGAAAGTAGACGACCCTGATGGAGGGGTCCAGAGTGACAGCTGAAGTTCCAGGCATTTGGATATAGGTGGTGTCGGGAAGTGGCTCAGCTCTGCCCACACAGACACTGCAAGTTACACTTTGAGAAATTCTGTTTTCAGAAGTTGAAGCAGTGACAACTGGTTCCCAGGCAAGTCCCCCTAGGCATCTTGGCTAAGGTGTAATTGGGCCCTTGTCACCCACTTTCAGCTGCTTGGTGGTATAGTCAACGCTCAATCTCCCTTTCCCACGTCCAGTTTCTTATCTTAGTCTGTGTACCCTTCCCGTGAAACATCTCCCCTCCTTCCTGTTGTCATATGTAACCTCAGGTGTGACAACCCACCTCTTCCCTCCTACTAATAAGCTAGGCTGCATTTTGGACAAGAAGGACAAGACACTTGGATTACAACAAGACACTTGGATTACGACCACTACTGACTTGTAGATGGGTTAAAAATAAAGTACAAACTCCAGGCTCCCCACTCCTTCCATCCTGTAGAACTCCTGCCTGGGCACTGGGGAGTCACCAGGACACCCCTGTCTGGAAGTCACAGGGAGCATCTCATTCTTCATCCTGCAGGTTAGAGAAGACCTTGGAGGGTAGAACCTTTGTCTCCTCTAGAAAACCACGTGGTGGGACCAGTTCACATTTCTTTTCCTATAGGATGTTTTTAGTTAGAGAATCATAATGTCCCTGGGGTAGCTCACAGCTCAGGTCACTCCACCCCCATTTCCTGACTTCCTGTGTCCCTCAACTGATCCATTTAACCTATGAGTTTGGGGGCAGAAACAACCCCAAACTTTTTTTTAATGCATAAAGCACTGGTATACATATAGTCATGAGCAGATATTTACCTGCAGTATTAAAATTTAAAGTCATAGGGGAGTGTGGTCAGGAAAAAAAATGTTATAAAGGCTTTTTATGAGGATCATAGTGAAAAACAAGGTTTGAGAAACACTGACATAACTACACAGGTGTGCGGGGTGCCGTGACAGGACTACCCCACAAGGTGGACGCCGGTATGTTCCCGGTCTAGGAGTCTGTCCGGAGGGATGGCCACCCTCTTGTCTTGTTTCTCCCAAACCGTGTGTCTTCTTTTCTTTCTTTTATACCCTACTCAACCTTTTCCTTCAGTGCGTTGAGAGCTGCATCTACACAGTCTGGTGGGCATGGCTTATTTTTTGTGGCTTTTCTTCCCTCTAGCTACGGCATTGCTGGCTCTACCAATGTGACAGGCGACCAAGTTAAGAAGCTGGATATCCTCTCCAATGACCTCGTTGTGAACATGTTGAAGTCATCCTTTTCCACCTGTGTTCTTGTGTCAGAAGAAGATAAACGTGCCATTATAGTAGAACCTGAGAGAAGGGTGGGTTTGTACTTCCACTGATGACGGTCTTCACGTCGCTCTTTTCTTCCTGGCTTCCTGACTCCACTTACCTAGCCAAGCTGGATTTCTGGAAACTCCCCCACCCCCCGCCCCGGATCCCTCCTGTCATCTTTTCACAGATTTCACCTCACTCCCTCCATACCATAAATCCACCCACACTGTGCATACTATGCCATAGCTCATGCCACTGCCATCTCTCCAGGGACTAGACTCCCAGGGACTCATCTCCATTTCTAACTTTTTATGGCCATGAGAAAGGCCCTTCAAGGTCTGGCTTCTGTTGACTATCTCTTTTGCTACATCTCCATCCACCAGATTCCCAGCCAGTACAGCTGACCCTCCTGCCAACCTAAACAGCTTGAAATGTTTATCACCAATTCATGCATTGGGATCCCTACTGCTTTGATGACATCTTTGGGGCAGAGAATGGAGTCTATTATTCTCTGTATCCCAGCATCTAGCACAATGCCTGGCACATTGTATTGGGGTTAACAACAGGTGTTGAGAAGGTTCACTGAATGGAAGGGTATATCCAGCTTTTATAACACAATACTCATACTAAAAAATCCTTTGAGATTAGAAGTAAAGTTGCTTACTATCTTTCCATCTTTGCGATGAACTGGGGACAGGAAGGAATAGAATTAAGAAAAAAGATAATCAGAAGATAAATTTAAAGAGGCTACAGGTCTTGACCTATTAAGAGGATGGGAGTCACGTCTGATTATCTTGTTTTACGTCATTCCTGAACCAGCACCACATGCCGGATTCGAAGTTCACATACTTCTCTACTAGGCCAAGGTCTTTGGCAGTTTTAGGCGTATGACTTGAGTTCATTGCTTAATATTCTCTATCAGTCACCCCAAATTTCACTGACTATTATATGTCTTTTGATACATGTTCCCATTTTCAAGCTTACAGTATTAGTGAGGGTGATGTGATAAGGGCAAGAAGCCAGGGAATCATCTTAATCTAGTACAGAACATTTAAAAGCCACATCTCAAAATTTGGAAATGGAAAATTCCCAGTGGTGTGCTGGTAAACAGGGCCTCAAACCAACCAACCAACCAAACAACTGTGGTATATAGCACTTACCACTGTCAGTGGTGTATAGATTTTCTCAATGTGACATCAGTAAATGCAGAATTGGGAAGAGACATGAACAGTTAGCTCTGGAGAGCTAGTACCAACCAGCTCCAGGACACCACTGAAATCCCATTCAAAAAATGAATCTTTAGTAGTCTAAGATTAGACTGCGATAGATGGTAATTTCCTTTGAGAATTACACTAGAGATACTGTTGAAAACTCTATGCATCCCAACCTCGTGTGGCATCTATAAAACCTACATAAGAATTTCTTGTAAATCTTAATTCTGGAAAACACTTAAGGAATTATTTTTTTCCCTCTGAATAAAGGGAAACCAGTGACTAATCTTCTTTCTCTTCTTCCTTTGGCTGCCAGGAAACTCAATCCAAAATTATGATTTGATTATATCAACAACATAGGAAATTATGACTTATTTATTTGTATTCTATTACCTTCATCTATGCCTCCTAAGTGTTTTTTTCTCTGTTTAATGATCTTTTGGCATGTATATAAACTTATGTTCATTTATTCTATATGTCACTTCCCATCTTCCATGACAGAATATAAATAAATAAGACCCACATTTCTTGCACTTTCCTTTAGATTCCCATTTTTGCTCCTTTATTATAAATTCTGTATGCAAAGTAGGCATAGTGTATACTATCTTATTACAGTATTTTAAAGTGCTATATCTTTTTTTCTTTGCTCAGGGAAAATATGTGGTCTGTTTTGATCCCCTTGATGGATCTTCCAACATCGACTGCCTTGTGTCCATTGGAACCATTTTTGGCATCTATAAGAAGGTAAAATGTGATGTATCAAGCACCTGGTTTGGGATCAAAGGAAAAGTTAAGGTTCAACCTTCAGTCCTATTTCACTGTGGTGGAGCAGCCAGAATGTGTATCGTGAAACTCTGTGAGGCTTGAATAGATTTGTATCTCAAGTCCTGAGTTTTTGTTTTTTATTTTAATTTTATTTTTTTTCTTGGAGACCAAGTCTTGCTCTGTGTCTCAGGCTGTAGCACAGTGTCACGATCATAATTCATATGGCCCTCCCAAGTAGCTAGGATTATAGTCATGTGCCAACACTCTTGGCTAATTTTTTAATTTTTTTGTAGATACAGGGTCTGGCTATATTGCCCAGGCTGTTCTCAAACTCTTAGCCTCAAGGGATCCTCTTGCTTTAGCTTCCAAACGTGTTGGTATTATAGGCATGAGGCAATGTGCCCGGCCTTTAAGTTTGGAGTTTTTCAAGGAAGTGTAAGACTATTTGGTGACCACATTTCAGGGAAAGGCTGTTTACTTTTGCACCTTCACCACAGGAAGGCATGGATGGTTGTGAATCTCTGGGGGACTTTTCTTGGTGAAGAACTGGTCACTCGAAGACTACAATACGGGAGAGGACAGTTAGAGGCCTGATGGGGAGACTGATAGTTGTTCAAATGACCCTTGGAGAGGTGGTCCATATTGGCAAAGGCCATTAATTTCCTTTGTTCAAGGTTATGCATTGGCAAAATTTGGGATCGAGGGAAACAACTCATAGTTTTCATCCCGTGTTGAGTCTGTTTAGCTGCACTGCACTATCTGATGAATATAAACCAAACTAAATCCAATGACTCACCCCCACCCAACCAGTTAACCAATCAACCACCCAGATGAAAACCATGAGGAGAAGGGATGAGCAGTAGGGGAGGAGAGACATAGCTTTTGTGATTCTTCCTTTTACATGAGTAAAAAGTCCCTAAACTTTAATGCAAGAGTCACTCGTGCCACATGGTGCCAAGCACTGCAGGACGTCTGACATAGTGAGTCTAGGATGCAGCCCCAGAACGTGCCTGTCTAGCAAGTTTCCCAGCTGACTGCAGTGCAGATGGCCTGGGCCTCCCTTTGGAAAGTTACAGGAAGAAATTACCTGGGATATTTTTGCTGGGATGACTTCCCTCTCCAGCTTCATGATAGAGAGATATCTCTGCTTACTTTCAGCTGCTGGACCGTCTTAGGGGGAGGGAACAAGTGAAATGGAGGGAAATTGTCCATTTTTATTTCTGTTCAATTCAAGCAGAGAGTTTTCAAGCTGGAATGTTTGTTTGGGGCTGTTCGGGGGACCCAAAGAAACCAATCGTGCATTAATTAAGAGGAGAGCTGAGCTGCCTGTAAGAGATGACAGCCTAGGAGCCAGCTCTGAAGGTGCTCCTCTCTTTAGGAGGAGACAAGCTGTGGATCACATCACAGACACAGGGTGTGTGTTTTAAATGGAAAACATGGAAAGAGTAGAGCGATGCCATGTTCTAAGTGTAGGCAGTATTGGGCTGAGTTTTCGGCGGGTGTGGTACTGGTTTGTGATGTAAAGTGTGTCCTATCATAGGTCATAGCCAAAAAAATGGGCATCTTCCCTGCCCCATAATGACTCTGGGGAGACATTCTGAGTTCCTGTATGTCTGAGACCCTCCCCAATGTGTGAGTGACACGAGCCACAGCTCAGTGAGGTCGGCATGCAGTTGGCAAGAACCCATGAAATTGATTTCCTTGCCAGGCTCGCTGCCCTGCAGCCCAGGGTTAATTTGTTTAAATGAAGATGGAGCAGGCAGGTGAAAGACATTGATGCCCATGATAAGATTAAATTAGTGGGAGCTCGCAAGAAGGCATGCTCCTTTTTGGAAGTGATAGTGGAGAGATGAGGGAATATCAAATTACAAAAATTGGAGGAGGACCCTGATTGGAAAGAAGGATCCAGACACAGGATATGTGGGGTCTGGTGGGAAGGCTGCTGTGGTAATAGAATCAGGATATTACTGATGTGTGGGGCAGGCCCCTCTGGGAAGACGCCCTTGCTCATCAGAAGGGTGAGGGTGCCGGATCATGCCTTCTGGTAATGCTTGAACTGGAAAAAAGAACCACGAAACAAAACAAAACAAAAACATACTTTGCTTTCTTTCTTGCTCTAGGAATCAACTAATGAGCCTTCTGAGAAGGATGCTCTACAGCCAGGCAGGAACCTGGTGGCAGCTGGCTATGCTCTCTATGGCAGTGCCACCATGCTGGTGCTCGCCATGGAGTGTGGTGTCAACTGCTTCATGCTGGACCCGGTGAGAGACCTGGCAGGGGCTGGCCTTGGCTGGGGGCTGTGACTGTATGTTGCATGTGCGTGTAGTGGGGGAGGGGGAAGCTGGGGTATGTAGAGGTGGAAAATGATGCCCACAGAGGGACAGAGGTGAAGGTATGGGGTGGCACAGGACAGGGCGGTGGAGAAGGGATGCACACATCATGAAAAGATTAGGGAGGGGGGAAATGATATCTGTCCAGGGTGGAAAGGCTGTCTGAGTTCTAAGCTGAGCTCTTTGTGTGGTTGTTATTCAGTGACTCGAGGGCCCCTGAATTCAGGGAGGCCACATAAGTGAGTGGACTGTGCTGGAGAGGCAGGCTGGGGCGACGGGGGGAGCTGGGGTGAACCCAGAGTCCAACAGTTTCTATTGGGAAGAGGGCCCAGCCTGCCAAGCCTTCTGACGGTTCAAGAAACACTGGATTTTGAAGCACATGATGTTTCTAACGTGTGAAACACTACGCTAGCCAACTAAATCTCATTACAGCCGGATGGAGCTGCAGGTCTGTTAGCCACCCACTCTGTCCATTTCCAGCCATTCTACCTACCTGACCCACCAAGAGGGGCTTTTCTGAGATGAACGACTGTCCCAGCCAAAGCTGTGAAAGATATTTCCTCAAAATAGCTCCCAAATGTATTTGGTTCTGTGCGCATGCCCACAAGTCTCCAGTTAGTTCTTGCAGTCATGACAAGGCTTTGATCAACT